GCCTGCGATGATTTAATCTCAGAATTGACTGTACCAAGGGCAGCTGCTCACTGAAGATCGACTGTCGTAGAGTAGAGTTGCCAGGGTGGACGAAGGGGATTGCAAGGGACAAAGTGGATAGCGATGCATGTGAACTCCATGGCGATAAAATGAGGAGTCGCACGAGGAGAAAAAAAATTCCATGTCGTCATTCGCGCAACTGACGTGGCATCGCAGCCATATGACTTAGTGAAGCTGACAGCAGCAGTGCCGGCCCTGTCGGCAAATGGCATACTGAAGGCTCCCCTGTAGCGTTTGCTCCCTCCCCTTCTCTCCCTCCACGCTTCTCTTGCTTCTTTACAGGTGACCCGCGGTGATGTTTGATACTATCTTCCCACTTGTTTGATGCTGTCTACCCACTGTTTGACAAGTATGGCTACAGTATCTGAGCTATCATAGCTACGCCATAACCTCTCTCTCAACAGTCTCCTGCCTTCAAACAGGTCACTTGTGCAAGAAACAAACAAGCAAACATGATTTTGAACCCAGGCAGTCCCGCTATACACCCCTACTCCCTGCCTGACTAAGGATCCCCCGAAGCAGGACGGGTCCCCGTCACATTGACCGGTTCAATCACACTCACTCTATGGTACACATGCTCAAGCAGGCATTCGTCACTCCTGTACAAGCACAGCCAACTGCTTCGCCCTCCTTTCCATGAACATGCCGAGCACTTGTCCCTTTCCCAATCAAAATGAAGTGAAGCTCGTCACCCTTCCCCAAACTCGCCAACTGTCACCGCCGCACCTTTGTATTTGATGGCTTGGTCCAACCCACACTCCCCGAACCTGCCACTCCGCTATAACCTGCCCCCTCCCTTGCCTTAGTGCACTACCCTTCTCAATTGCCCTCTCTACACTAAGGTCGCATAAACGTGCCACAGCAGAAGTGACCCAGCCGATGGTAGGGTGTACGTATGGATGATGCCCTCCGCACGACAGAACTGACCCAGCCGACTAGAGGCGAACTCGCCGCCACGGTCGGAGTGGAGACACAGCACAGGGAGACTGCGGTGGAGACGCGCAGCTACAAGCCACGGGATGAGAACGTCGGGCATGTCGGCCTTCCGCTCCAGGGGGAACACCGTGGTGTAGCGCGTGAAGCCGTCAACAAGCACAAGAAAGTAGCGCTTGTAACGCGGTCCAGAGATGGGGACTGGGCCCCAGATGTCTAAGTGCAGGGTCTGAAGGGGAGCAGTGGCAGGGCGAAGCAAGGAGGAGTGAGGTGCACGGCGCAGCCGGCCCTCGACGCAGGGCGTGCACGGCGGCGTAGGCGAAGGAGGGAGAGCAGGGAGTGACACAGGGAGGCCTAGGATGAGACCGTGCTGAGATATGTGACGCAGACGCGGGAGTGCGAGGTGACCTAGGCGGTGGTGCCACAAAAGCGACGGGTGAGTGAGCGACCGACACGAGCAGGCCGCAGCAACCTGGGTGGACGCAAGACTGGAGGAGGACTCGCCCGCCGGGGGGGGCGCAGTATCCAGCGTAAATAGGCCAGGCACAGGATCCCGGGGGAATGTCACAACGGGGGCACCTGAGGCAGTCTCGGTACAGACCGCGTACCGCTCATGACCAGGGAACGTAGTGGTGACGCCGAGGTTCTGAAGACAGCCGACACCAACTAAGTTCCTGGAGAATGAAAGGATGTGCAAGCCTGTAAGGGAACCCGAGGGAACCGCCGGACAGGGAAGGGAAGTGTAGCTGCGAGCAACTACAGGACCAGAGGAGGGGTAAGCAAGGGTGACAGCGGCAGGCGCAGCAAGCGGCGTGAGGGCAGCGTGGTCGCGGAAGAAACAGGTTGACGCACCGGATTCTAGAGTGAAGGACAACGACGCCGTAGTGGACGACGAGGGAGGAGCAAGGGTAGAGCCTAGGCTAGACAAAGCAAGCTGTCCTACGCCTGACGCAGCAGGGGAGTCTGAACTACACACAGGTGCTACACCTAAGCTAGAGAACACAGAGTAATAGGATCCGGCAACACTCGAAGCGTCAGCATACAGGTAATGCAAGGCATAAATAATCTGATCCATGTCTAAGTCAAACACAGTCACACCGTGGCGCAGCTGACTGGGCCAGTCAGGGAGGTCCGGGGCTGGACCAAAGCGGTGACAGAAGAGGTCATCAAGGCAGCGGAAGCAGCGGGCGGTCGGGTGCGGGCGGCGGCACACCGTGCCGCGGAGGGGCCCGGTCTGGAGCTGGTACCGGCAGCTAACAGAACCTAAGCCGCTGGTGGACGCTGAGCTGTGAGGGCCGCCACCGTGACCACCACCTCCTGAGGCTCCTGGCCACCCCGGCGGGAGGCGAGCCCTCGGCTACTGCTGCTGTGACGGCTGCTGCTGCGGCTGCGACGGCTGCTGCTGCGGCTGCGACTGTGGCAAGTGCTGCTGCTCTTGGGCACAAGCTCCAACCCCCTCGTCAAAAACACTGTCCCCGCCACCACCACTAGTGCCACCACCACGTCCTCCCTCGGCCCCAGCGCTGGCGCTGCTGCGGGTAAGCCGCAGCTGCTGTCTCAGTGGCAGGCGCAATCGTGGCAACTGCGGCAGAGACGTCAGCGTAAGTGCACTGGGAGGGAGCACAGCCCTGAAAGATAGGGACCGCCGCAACACCGCTCGACTGAGCGATATTTCGCTGGCGAGTCTCTATCTCAGACAGAGTAGTGACAAAGGCGGTCAGGGCGAGGTCGGCAGGGTGCTGACTAAGGAAGTGGTCGCGGGAAATGGCTAAGCGGTCAGACAGGTGCATGGTGATGAGGTACAGGGTAGCGCAGAAAGGTGGAGGGAAGGTAATAAGCTGGGCGGCAGAGCTAGCAGCGCGATAGCTGGTCTCTAGTGCACGGAGGTGAGTAGCGAGGTCAGCTACCTTGGGGAAAGTGGAACGATCAGGGAAGAGCATAGGTAGGATCAAGCAGCCAGCAGAGGCGGAAGCAGGGGTGGAGTAACGATCAACTGCTGCAGCTAGAAAGTCCTTGGCGTTTGCGACAGTGGTGAAGCGCGGACGCTCAGACAGGGGAAAGGCATGGCTAATGGCAAGCTACGCTACAGCATCGCGAGAATCCCAGATAGCGCAAGCGAGCGCAGCAGCAGCAAAGGCCTCGCTCTCAGCAGTGGTAGGGTCAGCAGAGAGGGGATCAGGCACAGGGGGGCGAGGGAGCAAGCCATCAACATGCATAGCCAGGGAGTGCCCATCCTGGCGCTGACCTGTCAGGTGTCGGCGGAGGTCGACGAGCCAGGCGGCAAAGTCGATCGCGTGCCCCTCAGCGTCCAAGCGAAGAACGGCGTCCGCCATCGCACAGTGGAACAGTGGCACAGCAGCACCGCAGCTCAGTGGCACAGCCGCTCAGGGTCACGGCGGCTCGGCGGTAGGGTACTCCAGCAGGGGCAAGCGGGAACGCGAGGGGCCAGCTTGGGCGCAAGGAGGGGCTGGTGGCGGCGCAAGGGACCGGTAAAGGCGCAAGGGGCCAGCTAGGGCCTGCTAGGGGCCGGCTAGGGCCAGCTAGGAGCGCGAGGGGGCCGTAGGGGCGCGAGGGGCCGTAGGGGCGCGGTGGACCGGCTGGGGGCGCGTGGGGCCGTAGGGGCGCGAGGGGCCGTAGGGGCGCGAGGGGCCGGTAGGGGGGCGAGGGGCCGTAGGTGAGCGATGGGACGGCTGGGGGCGCGTGGGGCCGTAGGGGTGCGAGGGGCCGTAGGGGCGCGCGAGGCCGTAGGGGCGCGAGGGGCCGGTAGGGGCGCGACGGGCCGGTAGGGGCGCGCGGGGCCGTAGGGTCGCGAGGGGCCGGTAGGGGCGCGCTGGCCGTAGGGGCTCGAGGGGCCAAGAGGGTCGCGCGCGGGGCCGTAGGGGCACGAGGGGCCTGTAGGGGCGCGCCGGACCGTAGGGGCGCGAGGGGGGCCAGTAGGGGTACGCGAGGGGCCGGCTAGGTCTAACGAGGCGAGGTAGGCTAGGGCACGGGGCGGAAGCGGGTGGGTGGAGCTACCTACTCGTGATACCAATTTTAGAACTAGAAAGAATGATTTGAAACAAGAGAGTACAAGGAAGATATAGAGTTGGGACGTACTCTCTAAGAGACTAATCCTATCTAGCCTATAACTTCTACATATAAAGATATGTATAAGTTGGCACTTAACATGTGTGTCATCGGGCCTCAAACCTGCTACCCGCGGAACATTTTTGCCGCGTGGCGCGTCATTACCCAAGTACTGTAGTTTATTATAAAGATGTTTTTTTCGTCTGGAAGCTCAATTCAGACCAGCCTAGGTAGCTCGTCGGATAGTCAACGAAATTTTGAAACCCCGTCTGATTCTCAGACAGCCCTAAAACTTAGCAGGAACCTTTTCATAACACCATCTTCATGTCCAATCGGCAGTACTATATAGAAACGTCTAGTTTAGATTTTCACATTTCAGTTATCCCTCCATCCTTCTAATAATATGAAAGAGCGACGATTCTGTCCGTTTTAGGCACGCCGAGCCCAACCAAGCATTGCCGAAAGCATCATACAATGTAAAAACAGAATATTTGTATTTTTGGCATGTAAGCAGTTACTGGGCTGCTTGAAAGTTATACATCATCACACTAATAGCGGACATTCCATTCTGGTTCCCTCTTTACAATCCGCCAATCACAATATATCCCACGCTTTCAGGTGCAAGTGTGCCTCATCCCCGCAAAAAGTCAGAGAAACGGTCAGACGAATGTTGGGAATCTCCAATACGCTGACGCCTGGGGGTTGTCAGACTCCTCGAAACCAGATCGGATGACGTGTGGTTTTCCCGCCAAGAGCGACCAGCAGGGTCGTGCGACGTGTTGCCTCATCTGTCCTGCGAGTCGCGATCTGACCTTGGGAGGGAGGGAGCGAGCGACCCTCTTCCTGCCCCGGCCCGGATGCCAAAAAATGTTTTCCCTCGCCCTGGGTCCTTGCTCGTCGCCCATAAACTCTCAGATCTTGGTCCATTACGAGTCATTCAGCACTCAGTCTAAGATCCAGCCAACCTTCAGGGGGAGCTTTCTATTTTAGCTCTCCTAGTCAAGTCTCCCTCGGTCACTCCCAGTCGATCTCAAGCTTTTCGCACCAGCGCCTTTCATTGACAGGAGTTCCCTGCTAGCCAACTTCGCGTTCTCCACCGTCACTCACACGCCACCATGAGGGAAATTCTTCACATCCAGGGCGGCCAGTGCGGCAACCAGATTGGAGCCAAGTTCTGGGAGGTCATCTGCGAGGAGCACGGCATCGACCCCCTCGGCAACTACAAGGGCGACTCTCCCCTGCAGCTCGAGCGCGTTAACGTCTACTACAATGAGGCCAGCGGCGGTCGCTACGTCCCCCGTGCCATCCTCATGGTTAGTAGTCCAAGCCGTCTCACCGCGCCTCCCGATTTTTTTTTTCCGGACGTCCACTTTCACGTCGGCCCTTACACTTTTTTTAAACGAATGCTCCTAACCCGTATCCGCTTGTGCCTCTCGTGCATCTTCCAGGATCTGGAGCCCGGTGTGATGGACAGCGTCCGCTCGGGCCCGTACGGCAAGGTCTTCCGCCCCGACAACTTCGTGTTCGGGCAGTCCGGCGCCGGCAACAACTGGGCTAAGGGCCACTATACGGAGGGCGCGGAGCTCATCGACTCGGTGCTGGACGTCGTGCGCAAGGAGGCGGAGAACTGCGACTGCCTGCAGGGCTTCCAAGTGTGCCACTCGCTGGGCGGCGGCACGGGGTCCGGCATGGGCACGCTGCTCATCTCGAAGATCCGCGAGGAGTACCCCGACCGCATGATGCTGACGTTCTCCGTGTTCCCGTCGCCCAAGGTGTCGGACACGGTCGTGGAGCCGTACAACGCGACGCTGTCCGTGCACCAGCTCGTCGAGAACGCCGATGAGTGCATGGTGCTCGATAACGAGGCGCTCTACGACATCTGCTTCCGCACGCTCAAGCTCGCCAACCCCAGCTGTAAGTCCCCGGTCCCGGCGAAATAATCCTGTCCCTTTTTTAACGGTCTCTGTAAAATTAAACGAGAATGATACTTGTCGCATACCAGACTTACCTGAAGCGTCGGTTGAGTTTCGTTTCTCACCTCGCTTCTCCTACCCCTCTCTCCGCCTTTCCCTTCCGCCAGTCGGCGACCTGAACCACCTCATCTCCGCGACAATGAGCGGCGTCACGTGCTGCCTGCGCTTCCCCGGGCAGCTTAACTCGGACCTGCGCAAGCTCGCCGTCAACCTCATCCCCTTCCCGCGCCTCCACTTCTTCATGGTCGGCTTCGCGCCGCTCACCTCCCGCGGCTCGCAGCAGTACCGCGCGCTGACGGTGCCCGAGCTGACGCAGCAGATGTGGGACGCGAAGAACATGATGTGCGCAGCGGACCCGCGCCACGGGCGGTACCTGACGGCGTCGGCGATGTTCCGCGGGAAGATGAGCACCAAGGAGGTGGACGAGCAGATGCTGAACGTGCAGAACAAGAACTCGTCGTACTTTGTGGAGTGGATCCCCAACAACGTCAAGTCGTCCGTGTGCGATATCCCGCCGCGCGGTCTCAAGATGGCGTCGACGTTCATCGGCAATAGCACGAGCATCCAGGAGATGTTCAAGCGCGTGAGCGAGCAGTTCACGGCCATGTTCCGGCGCAAGGCTTTCCTGCATTGGTACACGGGCGAGGGCATGGACGAGATGGAGTTCACGGAGGCGGAGAGCAACATGAACGACCTGGTGAGCGAGTACCAGCAGTACCAGGAGGCCAGCACGGAGGAGGACGCCGAATACGCGGACGAGGAGGCCGAGCCCGCCATGTGAGCGCCGCACGCGCTGGCGCGCGCGGACGGGCACGCGGATGTGGATGCGGACGCGATGCCCGCGATTCTAGAGGCAGGTGCTTTTTTCCTATAGCGGAGTTGAAAGGAATGTCTGGCGTCGGGGTGAAGAAATCGCTGGAAGCGATGACGGTCGTATCTGCTGGCATGGAAATGGGTGTGGTGTGGTACGGTAGGAGTGTACAGCCCAGACAGAGTGGTGGCGGTGGCTTCCCTGTTTGATCCCTCGACTTAGGCTCGACGTATGTGCGCGATGCTTTTCCCTAGATTTTGTTTCCCCTTCCCTTTCCATTCAATTGCTTAGTTTGTTAGGGTCGTTGAGAGTGTTGCAGACAATGTTATGAAACGAATACTGTCCATCGACTGTCTCGTCAATACCGGGCCGTTGATTGTCCATGCTTCACAACTCTCCACAGTGGACACCCCGTGACTGACATGCATGCAAGAGAGCTTGACAAAGATTGCTGCTTGCAATGCCGTGTGTGGGATGCATGTAACCCGATATGGTGGTGGTCGAAATGGGAAGGAGACAGAGGAGTGGGGAAGGAGGGAGGAGGTAAGAAAGTAGGGCAGTATGGCGATGTGGGTCGGTATATATTCGGTGGTCTGTTGGATAAGATTATTCAACATTTCATAATTAACCTACACTGAAACGCTTACTCACCTATGCAGCAAGAGTACACTATGCAGTGCTGCAAGGGAACATTACCAATACAGGATCAGAATCCGAAGGGAAAGGAAGTAGGCATTGCAGCCTTACCACACTGCCCTAACCATCCCATGTTATTCCCAGCCAAACCTACAACAGCATTCGACTCGTCATTCGCAGCAGTAACGCCACCACCACCAGCAGCCCCAACTGTATGCCTGCCAGCAGCTGCTATTGCAAAAAAGCGACTGGGCAACTGAGGCCCAGTGGCTGAAAAAAACCGTCCCATGCGGTTCCCAGCAGCAGCAGTGGCACTGTCACTCCTAGCAGCGAGCACATAGCTCTCGAGCTGCCCCACGCGGCGCTCCAGCACATCCACATAGCGCACGGCTCTGTCCAGCATGGCACACGTGTCGCCCCGCCCCCTGACCTTCACCCTCAGCCTCTTCAGCCCCTCGCTGATCCTCTCCCTCCTCCGCCGCTCCGCCATGCTCCGGCTCTTTATCCTCAGGCTCCGCACACCCGAACCACTCCTCGCACCCTGGCACCTCGGCATCCATTCCTCGTCATTCTCGCACTCGCCTTTTGTCTCGCTCTCGTTTTTCAGTCCGCACTCGTCCCTCATCTGCCACTCGTCTGCCACCCCGCACCAGTCCTCCCTGGCACTTGCACAAGGATCCTCCTCTGCGCACTCAGGCTGCAGCTGAGCACTCCGCATGGCCTCAACCTCAAAGCCCAGGTCCGTGTCACAAGGCCAGGAATCCACATCCTTGGAGCACATGGCCTCAAATGCACCAGTCAGACCAGCCACTGAAGCTGGCACCACCGCGCGTCCTGCCGTGGCTGGGATACACTGCATAGGTGGGGCAGCGGCCGGATAAGACCGCATAAACAAGGCAGAGGCCGGCTTTGACTGAATAGGTGGGGCAGCGGTAGGGCCGAGCACACTGGGGCTGTAGCAGCCATGGGGAACCTGTCTGCGGTGCTGCCACTCGTGCGCAGCTGTAGCACAGCCAGAGTTCCACTCTGGACTCTTCCTCTTCCTCCCCGCACCGCTCGCTGTGGCAGCACTGGTGCCACCGGCACTGAGGATGCTGCTGCTGATGCCATCTGCATCCCATGGCTTTATCCCACAGCTCACATTGCTGCTGATGCCGCGGCTACCCACAGCAGACTCAGGGCTGCCGCTCCTCTCTGCACCACCATTAACGCACCCACCACTGCAGCTCCCCTCCCCACCTCTTTTCCCCATGCGGGCCCAGGCTCCCGCGCTGTGAGCCGAGCGCAGAGCGCCATCTGGGGTGTAGTGCGGAGCATAGTTGAGGGCAAGTTCGTTCTTCACGAGCTCTGGCTGCACTTCGGCATCTGCTACAGCCCAGTGCGAGGAGCAATGGTGCTCCTCGCCTTCCGCATGCTGCACCTGTGCTTGCCATGCCTGCCGCTGCTGTCCCTGCTGTGCCTGCTGGGGCTGCTCCTGCCGCTCTTCAATGTGCTTCAGGGCCTGCAGCAGAGCCATGAGTTGCTGCCTCTCCTCCTCGTTCCCTCTGCCCATCTGCGCTCTTGCTGCCACTGTGCTTGCCAGCACCGCCTTTTCTGCCTTGGCTGCTGCTGCTGCCACTTGCACGAGCTGATCACAGGCAGACGGCGTGTCCTCGTTAGAAGGCAAATTCGCCTCATTTGCCATAATGCAAGGCTCACTTTTATCGGGTACTACAGTGCCAAGCTGATATACGCTGTCCAGGTGGTATGGCTCCTGAGGTGCCTTTCCCCTTGAAAGCAGCTTGTCTTGAGACGTCTCAAAGGTTGCCTTTTGTGTTACGCAGCTTGCCAGCTGCGACAGCGCTGCCAGCATGCGCTTTATCTGCATCTCCCCGCCCGTGCCTTCAGCTGGCCTCACCACAGCGCCACGGCCCGAGCATAATGCTGTGTCTCGCTCGTCCTTCGCCTCCCTGGATGCACTCCGCCCTTCGGTGCTGGCCTCCTTGAAGCATAACGTTGGAGTCCCTTGAAGCGCCTCACATAATCCATCCCACGTGGATGCTCCTTCTGCGGGAGTCAGCGCCTGACTGCACTCCCTTTCCAGAGCGAGCTGCCACTCAAAAGATGACCGCCGTTGCGGGAGATTGGGCTTGCTGGCTCCGCCGTTCGTTGCAGCTACCACGACCGCACGAGCTGCACGCTCAGGGTTGATCTCAGGGAGAGGCGAAGATGAATGTAACGAGGGGTGTAAAGTCGGCAGGGCGTTGCATGCAGCGATGGTGCGCAGGGAGGGGGCGGGAGGATCGGCGGGGAGGGGGAATGGAAGGTCATCCATGGAAAAGAGCGCTGCAGCTAGTGATTCGGGGCGAGCGCTCGTCGTAGCCGTGTGAGCACTGTCAGCCATGGATAGCTTCCTCAAGTCACTCACTTGCGCTCCCCTTGTTGCTGCGACGCTGGAGGACCTTGCGCGTGGCCTTGTGGCGCAGCACCAGGTTGTTCCGGAGGCTACAGCCGCCCACCCACAGAAGAGGTGGTGTTCAAAAGTAGTGTAAGAGGAAGTAGTAGGGGGTACGTAGTAAGAGACCACCGGTCAAGGTAGTGAGGGTGTGAGTCTGCGAGTAGGTGAGTGTGTGACGTGTGTTTCCTTGCAGCAAGACAGGTCGTTGCAGGTTGAGGGCGCTGGTTGGCGGATGTTGGCTGGGATGTTTCGCACGGAGAGGATAGCAATGAAGGACTCAAGGCGGGTGGGGCGGTAAGGAGAAAGATGGTGGTGGGTGGTGCGACAATGGGTGGGTGGCGTGCGGAACCGGCTTTGAAGAACGCGAGTTGTTGCAAGAAAGCGGGTGAGCAAGAGCGTTGTAATGCTGAAGGGGGGGTGGATGGAAGCGAAAGTGAATGCTCGACCTGTCTTCGCAAGGATATGTAGTAGGGAGTGGGGGAGTGTCACTGCCATCCAGCCACGAGGTAATACCTCCACTAGCAGCACCACTCTGTCATAGAGCCAGAAGGTTCTTCCGACAGACGGACTGAGACGGACGGACGGACATGGCCGCGCGAACATCGGGTGGCTCGCACGATCGCGGCGCCGCGACGTGTCGAGGCAATCATGTCGTGCCATCCCATCCTTTTGCGACGCCAAGCCAGCGTCACGTGCAGCGGTTGCGAATCTAGTGAACCGCCAACCGCCATCGCGTGGGGGTCACACTCCCACACTCATCACGAATGTTGGCGTTAGTACCGACTCGCTACCGGCGAGCGTTACTACGACAGCGGACGATCCGTCCCCTGGTTCCCCCCCTCCCTCTCCCCCACCTCCCCCCCGCCACCTTCGCTTACACGGACGGCGACGAGAAACTACGCCCCGGGCTTCCGCCGTCGACTGCTTCACGACGCCGCGTCGCAAGATGGTGCGAGTCGCGAGCGACGCACTGACTCTGACCAGCAGTGCACCGGGTTTGTCACGGTCCCACATACTGGTGGAAAAGCTGAGCTGGAAGGGCTTCTGGAGCCGATCCCGAATCGTACCTAGTGCGACACAGAATCTTCTATTTCTAGCAATCCCCTGACGGATAAACGAAATCGACTACAGCACGCCGTGCTGTCCGTTCGGTGCACGTGACGGGAACGATAATGGCTACTGTACCGTCGACCTCGCATGGGCGAACTCGGCTGGACACGCACACATCGCGGCGCGCCATGCATGTAGTGAGCGCGGAACACGATCACGCGGTTTCTCTCGAAGCTTCCGTTCAACGCTTTTGCTCGAAGCTTAGCTTTCTCTCGAAGCTTTCTCTTGATTAGGGCGTGGTAAAATGCAGTGCGATCCAAGGCGATCCATTGCGATCCATCACCACTAGCTGCCAATATGCTCTCAGTTATCCTCTCAGCAAGGCTCTTGACGAACCATAGAGCGCACTGGTGCGCACCAGTGCGAGCCATCCTTTGGTTCGGAGGAGTGTGCACCAGTGCGCGCTGGAACACACCACATAGCGCGCCAAACTGACGAAGAACAATGAAGTGTTGCGAGCCTGGTTCGACGAATCTGAAAAGTGACGATCTCCTTTCATGTTGGTAACCTCTAACCCCCTCCTAACTTTCGCACAGGCACGTGCCATCGGCCACGTAGGACAACCCCCCAGCCCCGAATCTTCCCTTCCCTTGCCTAGAAACAACACAGCCCAATCAGCCCCAAAACACTCTCGATCCACCGTGATCCATGGAATCCTCTGGTACGCTCCAGTCCGAACCGGTCCAGCGCGATTTCAGCAATTTCACCACGTCCTTAGGCTCTCTCTACGCGCTCGGGTGGCCCCACGAGACCGAACTGTAGACGCGTTTTCGCACCGGCAGAATCTCTCCTCATGGGAGAGACATGACGGCGATGCCAGCAGAGCTGGTGCTGTGCTCTGCACATGACGATGACTGCTCGACGTTCGAAGCTCCACCATACAGCGCACGTGCTGTGCAGTGTACGCGGGGAGAGTGGCTTTTGTGGAAGCCCACTCTCGCTGGGGGCCTGGCGCGGTGGTCCAATGCAGAAATGCAGTCAACATACTCCATCGCGTGTACAGCGACCACACCTTCGAGAATCAAGTTGAGTTGACAGAGCACCACCAAGGCGAAGGACAGCTGTTTTGTAGGCAAACTGCTCTGGCGATGTTGTCTTGTGTGAAGACGATTGTTGGCGAACAGGTCATTCGTTAGGGCGTGTCCATAGTGGAATATCGATTGATGTCGAGGGAGGTGGGTAGGCCCTCAAAGCTGACTCCAATGTCCAGAGGAGGCACAACATCCAACCTCGATACCTAGACGTCGAGCGGATGTCGTGTTTTGTCAAATAGTGCCTTTGGGCAAAGAATCGAAAACCTAATGGAGCACTTGAATGAACATTTCAAGGCCTACAAGGCGCCAAAAAACCGCAAAATCACGTCGCGCCCATTGCACAACAAATTTCACCAAAACAAAGACGCTATTTGCGAAAGCTGGATTGGAAGAGTATAACAATATATCTGACTTCGAGATTTCGTGTAAGGAATTAGATTCCTTGCTGGGGCTCGCCACAGCGAGTATACGCGAACAGTTCGCGTCCGCAGGCTCGGCCCTCAAGTCACGCGCCAAACCAGCCCCCGTCGACCTCGTTGGCCCCAACCTCATCCCGAGTCACCCCGAACCCAATTTGACCCCGTCACCCTCGGGACTTTCGAGCCCTTGATTGGTCCAACCCTCGACATTCAACCGTGATCAATCGCCCTATATATTGCCTAGGCCTCATTTCTATCGACACTCTGTAATCACGTTCCCCTATAGTATTTTGCGCTATACTCTGTATTATGATTTATAACAATTGGTATCAGAGCTACGTTCCTGCCCATTAGGTTTCCGGTAGGGGAGCAGACCCTATCGGGGAAGGGGGCGGAAGGATGCTGATGGCGAGCGGACGACGCGAAGATTAATTGCGCGGGCGTCTCCAATGCCATCAGATCCTGTCCGATGGACAGCTGGGATTAGCCGGTCCTCCCCTGCCCCGGGCGTAGACGAAGTTATTTTCCGTCGAAGATATGGAGACGTTTTCGCCGTACTTTTCGGGTATGTTCGTTAGTGTTTCGTTATTTTCGGGAGTTTCTATTGAAGTGTTCGGATTGGCTTCCGAAAATAGCGAGGAGTCGTAAGGCGACCGAAAGTCGGTCGTGAGGAAGAGACAAGTGCACGAGAGTCCTCAGGCGGCCATGAGTTGCTCGTCAGGAGCGTGCGGGGTAGCGAAAATGGCGGGATGTATGGCGATGTACGTCTGGTGCGCCATGAACTTGCAAGGTGAACTGTAGTTGTGTCGCGGGTCCCGACGTTTCCGGCAAGCTAGTTGCAGGCGATGGACCGGACTTCAAAACTGTTTCGGCAATGGACGGATCCGACAATTTCGGAACGACACGATTGCTGAAGGACGTGTGGGTATGCAGTTGTGTGTGAGCAGCTCGACCTCGGCGCTATTCACCACGACGACCATCTGGAGGTGATGACGCTGTGTTGGAGTGAGTGTACTCAGCGAGGGCAACTTCCCGCGTGGGGAGGCATTTTCCGTGGACTAGCGATTCATACCCCCACAATCAACGGAAACGAAGGCCACCACCCTTGGGTGTGTATACTGCCAGTCGCCGAAAAACGAAGTGTTTTTCCACTGGTCGCCGAAAGCGTCAACTGCTTGGAGTTGAAGCAGTGGAAGAAGAACGACGGGAGTACTGGAGCAGTTAAGGGTTAGCGGCGTTCGGGCTGCTGCTCGCTCAGCTACGTCGCCCGAATATTACCATCCCCACCAGGTAGCAGTGCCGACTTATTAATCGACGGCTTCTGGCTGAATAAGAGAGGTGAACCTGCAAAATACACTGTGCTGATGGAGTGTCCCCGAAATTTTCGGAGTTACTGCTGCAACGAAGCTGAGGGTTTCACTTGGTGCAGCAAAAAAGAGTTTTTGACTTTTGTGGGTGTAGTTTGACGAGTTTCCGACGGAGGAGGGAGCTGTCCAGCGGTCAGTAGGCGAGCTCGTTAAAGCTCCTCTGACTAGAAGCGTGCGCACTCCTCTCTTTGTGGATTCTCTTAGTTAAGCAGCAACGAAGCGGTTTTGGGTAACCTGCAGCAGCTGCGAGATAGGTGTACGTCTGCACGGCCAGCTGGACAGGGGTACTGGAGAATTTCTAGAGTTGGGTAACAGTTGGGCCGAGATCGACGGCGTATGATGTGCATTGACCCTGATCGACAGCCAAAACGTCATGCCGAGTCGGTGGACTCCGGTGTTCCCTAATATAAAGGGTTCAGTTCATACGTACAGCTGGTGGAGAAACCATGGGGGCACTGTTAAAGGACGCCGTGACGCCCGAATGTTCTTACGGGTAGCTGTAAAGCAATGTTGCAGTCTTGGTTAAGTATCGATGGAGTTCCGACATTTTCGCTGGAGCAGTTTATGGACTTACAACTGGAGCAGTACCCACTGTCATCGGGGGTACGAGCGACATCGACCAAATTTTGCGGAGTATTCAGGGTACATGGAGCGGAGGAAGAGCAGTAGCTGTTTCGGTTCTTCCCGAATATAACGGACAAAAAAGTTCGGTGGTGTTCGTGTGATATCACAATTCGTGTGGTATCACGGTCGAATGACACGAACCCAATTCGTGTGTGTGTGATTCGCTCGAGTGTGTGAACACAACCCCGTCTCGCCATCCGAATCGACAACAGCAGTATCGGATTAACATAAATTTGGCGTCTGTACTGTTGGAGCTGTATTGGAACCAGCTCGCAAGTAGTGTTCCTACTCGTGCAGAATTTTCAGTTCGTATGGGAGTCTTCCGGAGTAGTTACTTCTGAGTTTCAAGACACTTGGAGCGGTTTACCCTGCAGCGGTTTGAACTGTGGAGCATATTTGGGATTTCTCGCGGATGGAGTTTTGCAGCAGCATCTTCGAAGCTGAGTGTGAGACTTTTCAGCAGCAGCGTGGGATTATTTCGACTACCCTGGAGCATCGGGTTTCTTGGGGTTTTACCCGAGCTTCTGGGAGTTGTTTCTTCTTGGAGGGGGGAGAAGGGCAGCTGCACTGCAGATTTCGTCTAACCCTATCGATGTGTTCCATCATCCATCTTCGAGCAACATTCGTCGTTTTCGCACCTGATTTCGTCACTTCGTTGATGGAGTTTGCTGATTTTTGTAGGACACGGATGCGTGCTCTCGCATGTGACTCGAACGACCTCGCGTTTGATGAACGGGTTCTTAATTTCATCGACAATCACGTTATTCGCCAGTCATCATTCCAAGATGTTCATCTGCCACGCAATCGACCACTCGACGGTTTCACTGTTTACCATCTTCCCTGGAGTATTTACCCTTGCCCGTTCAGTTACCACAAGAACTCGAACTTCTTCGACGGCTAAGATTAAAAGCGATCGTTTCGACGTTTTCAGTTCGACCTCAAGACCTCGTCAGGCCAGCGTAATCATTACGCTCGTCACAGGGCTGAAGACTTACTGTCACATGGGGGATTACTTTTAATGACTGTTCGGCCTCGATAAAGGGAGTGCCTTCCTTTAGAAGGTGAGAGAGTGTAAGGAATTATGATTCCTTACTGGGGCTCGCCACAACGAGTACATGCGAACAGTTCGCATCCGCAGGCTCGGTCCTCAAGTCATCTGATCCCGAGTCGCCCCGAACCCAATTTGACCTCGTCACCCTCGGGACTTTCGAGCCCTTGACTGGTCCAACCCTCAACATTCAACCCTGGTCAATCGACCTATATAGTGCCTAGGCCTCATTTCTATCGACACTCTGTAATCACATTCCCCTATAGTATTCTGCGCTATACTCTTAGTTATAATTCATAACATTACGAATGGGTGACCCTGGAAACTACATTACAGGTCATATTCAAACAGAGCAAGCTCCCAGATTATTGGAATTTGCTATGTTCGAGGGGGGTTGTGCGACATAGGCGTTTTTGCACTTAGTGAGTTGCGGCGTTGTCTTTAGTGTAGTACCTCTACTGTCGTTGTTAAAAGTGGATGCTCTCGAAGTGGACTTCGGGAGGTTGGTTCGGAGGAAATTTTGCATCGAGGAAACGGGTAGCCCAAGAAAGAGTTGGAGAACAAGTAACTCACTCGTCACCATTCGCCATAACTCCCTCGCGCGGGAGATATGACATTCGTTACGCTGTACGATATATTTTGCGTTTCCGAAAAAAATGGCAATCGATACTATGTGAGTTTGCATCGAAGTTACAAATATTGTATCAGCCAA